CACACACACACACACACACACACACACACACACACACACAGCAACGGAAACTTCTGTGAAAGTAAATCTACAGAGTTAAAAATACGGAGTATTAATGTGGACCACATGTGGCTCTCTGGCAGAGACGAGGAGGAGAAATCCTGGGGTTTCTGCAGCCACACACACACACACACACACACACACACACACACACACACACACACGCTCACCTTGAGCCTTCTCCACAAACACCACCTTGGAGTCGTGCTGGAAGTTGAGGCCGTCCAGCAGCATCCTGTCCCCCCCGCAGGCCCGACCCGTCTCCAGGTTCTGCTTGTCCACCAGGGGCAGCTCCTGGGCCGATCGCTGGGCTGAGGGACAGAAACCAGAACCCAGAACCGGGACTCAGTCCTCGGATCACAGTCACACCCGTTCCCCACGCAGACCTGAGCCTCCAGATGGAGTCACTGAGGAGAGCTGCTGCATGAGAACCAGCAGAACCGGGTCAGAACCACAGACACTCAGCTGAGCTTTGGACCGGTGGTGGCTGAGAGTCATCCTCAGCTCGTAGTCTGAGGACACTTTCAGAACCGGACCGACTCAGTCAGCACCGTCTGTCTGGGACCTCTTACTGTCGGGTCTGTATTTACCCTCCAGCTGACCTCCCAGAGTTCTGGGCTGAGGTCCGGCTCGTCAGACGAGTCATGTGGTTCTGGTTCTGGTTCTGGTTCTGACACACAAATGAAGTCTGAAGAGGTAAATTAGAGACGGAGGTTAAACCCTGATGTCAGCGTCCTGAAATAAACTATTGTTAGTTTCTGAGAACCGTTCAGAGTGTGTGTGTGTGTGTGTGTGTGTGTGTGTGTGTGTGTGTGTGTGTGTCAGACAGTGTACTCAGTGTTCAACACAGAGACTTGTAATGAACTCGGTGACCTACAGTTGACACTCACAGCACTCGATGGGGTTTGAGGCCACCTGCAGGGACAGGGTCCTGCCTGTGGACTGGTTCAGGTGGACTCTGAAAACCATCCGAACACGCGTGTTCTTCCTCCCGATGTCCGTCTCTCCCTTCCTCAGCTCGATGTCAGAGTTACGCAGCTTCAGGATCCCGGCGCAGTCGATTCTGTGGGTGAAAACATGACGTTAGGGGGTCTGTTGGGGGG